ACTCGGTCGTCTGATTTTCTACTCGATTAATCAACTCGGCAGCCCAAACGAGTAATGATCGACGAACTCGATTAATCGGAACACCACTAGTGTGTTGTAGTGATGTCCCGATGATCGATTATAATCGAAGATCGATCGATTATAGTCTCAAATTCGATAATCGATTATGAAAACAAATAATCGATTATCAAAAATACAAAAAAAAGTCCTGTCTGATTGCAGAGCGGTACTAGTGTATTTATAGACACTCGCAAAATGCCCGCCTCCGGCGGCCATATTCGCTCGTTACGCTGATGAGACTATACGATGATTTCTCTAAATCCCGGACCGATTCATAGTAATCTCTTAGTAAAATATTGACTTGATACGAAGACAATAATACAAGGATCCTGTTACTAACATAAAATTTTCTGTCCCGGTATATTCATTTCTATATAAAACACTTTGTACACACCTTCTAATCCATTGTTTTTCTTTTCAAATTAAGGCCAATATAATATACGGAACCCCTTAATACGATTATTTTTCTTTGGCCCGTCAGTTTCGTACTAACGGGGTGCGACTGTAGTAATGAATAGTAGTCATTAAATGAGGAGTTTAGGCTTTGCAGTAATTGTATCTATTTGTGAACAATTTAACGCTACTAAAGTTCTTAATTATACATATAAACCATACCTTGATGCTTCCCCGCATATAATAAGTACTCTAGCAGGCAAAATCACGCCACCACGCCCGGTGCCAAAGCCGCGTGTGCCCACTGCTTGAAGAATCAAGTTCGCTCCCCACTACCAGTGCATCTATACTATAATTTGGCTAATCTTGTGTGTGTGTGTGTGTGTTTGTTTGTCCTCGCTTTTCGCCCTGATTTGTCACTCAATCGCGCTAACTGAAGATATATCCAGAATCACCACGTCTGGGAGATGGTTCTGGCTGTAAAAAAAATTCGAAAAAAGTTTAAGTATTAAGTATTAAGTCAAAAATTCGAAAAAATGCTATTCGTCAATAGATGGCAGTGCGTACAGCAGATCCACATCACATACGTGGGAATAGAATAGAAGAGAAATAGAATAGAATAGAATAGAATAGAGAATAGAGAATAGAGAATAGAGAATAGAGAATAGAGAATAGAGAATAGAGAATAGAAAATAGAATAGAAATAGAATAGAAATAGAATAGAATAGAATAGAATAGAATAGAATAGAATAGACTTCTATTCTATTTCTGTGATC